AGAAATGAAGACATTTATAAAGCATCCAGAAAGAAGTGATGGTTAAAAAACAGAATAAGAAGACAGGAGGACACTATGCTTACAAGGTTGAGAATAGGGCACACAAGATTAATAAACTGCTTGAAGTTAATAGGAAAACACCGGACTGGATTATGCATTCATTGTGGAGAAATGGGAAATGTACAACATATACTCTTGACGAGTAGAAAGTACTCTGAACAAAGAAAAGAACTAGAGAAGGCAACCGAAAGTAAAAAAAAAAACCTATTGAGTTTGCCTGGCACATAATCTATAATTAATTGACATGAAAGGGTTATACATCAATCATACACACACATTTATACATATATATGTGTATGCATATGTATGCGTGTGTATATATATATATATATTAGGGGTGTAACGGTACACAAAAATCATGGTTCGGTACGTACCTCGGTTTTAAAGTCACGGTTCGGTACGTTTTCGATACAGCAAAAAGAAAGAAATGCCAGAGAAATTTCCTATTTTTTAAAGAAAATATATATTTTTAAATAAGTGAGTTTTCCTAGATCTTGAAACTTTCAGGTTTATAAATGGGGGTCATCTTTGAAGGATGAACAAATAATGTTTTGGTCATCACATTAAAAATAACATTTAAATATATATTTATTTATATAATATTTGAATTTTGAAGTGCTGGAAAAAGATGTGTGAAGTACTTGAAAGCATTTCACCATTCCAGCCAAACTGGTTCCAGTTAGTGTTCCTATATTAAATCCATGGTGAATGTTGCTGGTCTGTGGACGTAAAGTACTAGTTCATTCACGGGTCAATGTTTCTCCTGGTTTCCATGACAGCGCTATTTGATCTAATAGAGATCTACGGTTAATAACGGAGAAATGTGAATGCTTCTCACTAGATCTCGCAGCGATGTTATTACCTCAGTGGCGAATTCAAATGTTTTCTTTACCGGATCTCTTAGCGCGGTGTGGTAACAGTGTTGCTTGATGGAGATCGGCTCGTGCTGCACAGATGTTGCTGGTCCGAACCGATGAACGATCCGTGAAGCACATAACGAGGAGCGCAGTTTCGTTCTGCTTTCATTACGCTTGCCATTTGATGTTGCGTTGGCCGCGTCAGCACGAATTTTGCCGGCAGGAAAAATGGTCCAAGCAATCGTTCGGTTTGTATGCGTACCGAACCGGAAGCCTCGAACCGAAACGGTTCAATACGAATACATGTACCGTTACACCCCTAATATATATATATATATATATACTGAATATATACTATATATGTATGTATATTGAGTGTGTATATATATATATATATATATATATATATTCATACATTCACACATTACTTCTCTGCCTTTGAAATCATATAATTGATTTTTTGTTGCACCACTGCATCAATGGGAAGAGAATAATAATAATATAAATTAAGTTCCAAGTGACCAAACAAAGGGAACATTAATCACCATAATAGTGACTAAAAATATTTTAGGAAAATCAACAAGTCAGCTTCTGTGATGTTCTCTTAAAATTGACAATTCAACATTAAAGATGACTTTGGGAAATAAGTGAATGCAAATAGAGAGAAATAACTGCATAAGTGGAGGAAATTAGTGAAAAGTCCATTAAGATTTTTCCCGCCACAAAAAACAGAACGGTGCTGTGCCGTCTATATTGGATCCGACAGGAAATGTGCAAGACAAGGACTCTGGGTCGAACATGTTTGGGCGAATCATTCCGGTTGCCATTTTACAACATTGGACGTTTTCAAAACAATTTCCCCCAAGTGCATCGACGGTAAGTTGAAACTCATTATAATATGCAAAACTGTTATCCACTCACAGCAGTGGGCGTTTACTTCCAAGTCTTCAGTGCGAGACGCCCATTAAAACCGAGCGTTTTTCAGCTAGGCTCAAAACTAGGGTACAAAATACTTAGCCTTTTACTTATTCATTTTGATGTTTTTGAATGCAAAAACCAAGCGAACATCATAAATTGACCTCAGACAACAATATAATACAATTTTATACACAAAAGCAATAATAAAATCTGCTCTAAACAAGATGTGGAAAAAGAAATGGGATAAGGAGATAAAAGGTAGGTATTTGTATTAAATTCAAAACAAAGTTGGGGTTGAGAGAAAGAAATAAGGAAGCAGAAAGGAAGAATATATCTAGGCTTTGAATGGGACATACAACATTAATTACTCACTAGCCGCGTTTCCACTGCCGGGCTAGGGCTGGGCCAGAGCTAACAGCGAGCCGAGCTGAGCTAGTGGCCTCGGGCCTCAAGCACCGGGCTTGCGTTTCCACTGCCGGGCCAGTAGCCCCACAGCGCTGCCCCAGACCCCACCCCTAACACGCCTTTCAGGATCAAACGTCATAAAACCCAACCCATTTCAGCGGGTATTATGAATTAATTTATTTTGTAAATTAGGAAGATAGCAAGTATATTAACTCACCTGCCGTAGTGGCTGCAATAGTGTCACGAGACCAGTACAGGCGATTCTCCATTTCAAGCAGCGATTTTTTGCGCGATATAACAGGCTGCGGGCACGTTTTCAAGTTATTCATTAACCGTTAACCGAGGCCCATCGGTTAATACTCGGTGCATAGTGTGCGCGCCGCAACCTCGAGATACAGAGTAAATTTTTAACACCTTTAATAACTGATTGGACCCCATTTGAAACGAAATTAATTTATAGAAATAAAACGCAACAAGTACGGAGCAGTTAAAGCCCCATTTCCATCACCCTTCAAACTGAAATTGCCAATTGAAAATAAGCAAAACGTCCATTTCACAAAAACTCTGTGTCTGCAAATAATAATAATAATAATAACCATCATCATCATTATTGTAACATTTTATTAGGCTGCATATGTAGAAGACGCCTTTATCCAAAAAAGGAACAGAGCACAAATAAACACAATATTTTTGACAAATATCAGCGCATATCCATGTGTGTGGAGCACGCACTGATGGCTAGGAGACGCCCATGTGAACAGTTTCATTGCATTTATTTCAGTGGAAACAACTTAAAATACTCTTTAATTTCTGGTCATACAGAAAATAATAATACATTATTCGCAAATAAATTTATTTATAACAAGAAAACGTTGTGCTTTAACAATTAATCAAGGCGCGCTTCATGATCTCCGTGAACTGAAGCGCGAGACCTGAAACAGCCACCGCATTTGAATTTGTTCGTTTTAAATTGGACATTTAAAGCTTTAGTCTACAGGGGTTCTACAGGGGTTATATCCTTTGTAGATTAAATGTCCAATTTAAAACGAACAAATTCGAATCGAAAGCCAATATCTTCTATGTTTATGTAGCTTAATTTCTCTCTAAATGTGCATCCGGAGATGGAGATATGTTTTTAGCCGAAAATCATTTAGAAAACAATAGTTTATTAATAAACAATTAATGCCTCGTTATTTTATATTATTTTATTATCAGACACATTTATTATAGCCTATAAATCACCCATAAATCCCCTTTCTGTAGGCTGTGGTTACGGCTCTTCTCATTCAGCACTGTGGGGAAAATATCATTTCCAGGTTCTAATTTGGCCTCAGAAAACCAGTAAAATAGGCCTATATATTTTTTTCATATTAATTTGTCAAATATTTTAAATGTTTAAGGGGCAAAAAAATCAAACAAATATCTGAAAATTCGTCGATATGTAGCCTATATGGCCTATGTATTGTTGCGCAGCATTTGGCATAGGCCTACAGTTCAAATTAAAATGTTATGCAATTTTAAACGGTTAATCGGTTAAACATGGACACCCCAATGTGCATCTTGCTTCAGATCATAACGTTCCATAACACCGATAAACTCCGCCTTTTACCTTGAGCACGCCTCTAGCCCGAGCTGGCCCCCTCTGGCCCAAGGTATTCGACGGGCCAGAAATCCTGGCCGTTGGCCCTGAGGAAGCCCCGATCAAGCCCCGGAAGTGACAGTGGAAACGCGACTGGCCCTGGCACGCACTAGCACGGCCCGGCCCTGGCCCGGCAGTGGAAACGCGGCTACTGTTTATCATAGGGAAAAGAGAATCGGGGAATTGTGCTAAATGTGGATTGTCAGAAACAGTTGAACATGTGTTGATTCAGTCTCAGAATACAAAATTGAAAGAAGCTAGTTTATAGAAACAGCTATGTAGGCATTAATACAATGTTAATAAATAGCATATTTCAAAACACACAGAAAGAGAAAAGGATTTATAGTGCTTTAATCAGGCATCTAAGGGAAACAGGACTGGGTGACAGGATATAGATGTTATTATATATATATGTATGTATGTATGTATGTATATATATATATATATATATATATATATATATATATATATGAAGAGTTCAGATGCAAAAGCCTCTAAATGTCATTTGAAATTTTCTTCTTTAATGATGATTTTTATCAAAGTTGTATATTTAAGTTCAGTAATTTCACTTAAATGGCAATGATAATTACCTATTAATTGTTATTTAAGTGAAATTAATGAAATAAAAAATACAAGTTTGATAAAAATCATCATTAAAGAAGAAAATTTCAAATGGCATTTAGAGGCTTTTGCATCTGAACTCTTCATATATATATATATATAGACCATTTCACAAGATGTAAACACTGGTCCAGAAGCACTTCCTGTTTCAGTTTTTCAACACTACATAAAAGCTGGGATAAAATACAACCAACAGAACATTTAAAACTGAATCAAAAAGTTAAACAAACATCTTTAAGATGTTTTCTTTACATGTGAAATAAAGAAAACAGTTACAAACTGAAACAGGAAGTGTTTATGGACCAGTGTTGTTTACATCTTGTGAAATGGTCTATTTATATATATATATATATATATATATATATATATATATATATATATATATATAATTTGCTTAACTCTGTTGACGCTTCACACTCCTTTCCACTTGGTGGCGGTAAATGTAAGTTTTAGCTTGTTTGCCAACCGCCATATACTCCTAAAGAAGAAGAAGATCATCTTTGGGATGTTTTGTGTTGCTCTGGTGAACATCTGAGCGTTTCTTCCTGTGGTTTTGTCTTCCTCTGGATTACTCTTGGAATGTTTATTGTCTTCGTGATGTAAGTTTGCTGCCTGACTTTATGCCTGTTTATGGATTACGAGTTCTCTCTACTGTTGTGTTTGCTGGTGGTGATCGACCCTGATTATACGAGCCAAAATTACAATAAAGCTGCAAAATGAATCCTCACTTTGCTGAAGCCTCGTTACAAATTAAGTTTTGAGTTTATAGAAGTGCCATAAAACTGGAATAAGGTTATGCGTTTACAAAAAAAAATCTCCACATATAATTTTGGTGGATTAAGTCTGTGGACATTTCCTTTAAATGGGTTTAGCTTTCATTTTGATGTTAAAAAATCTGAAAGGCAAAGAATCTTGTTTTAGCCATATGTATTATGACCTCATTTCAGACCTGTGTATTATGTTAATTGCATTTATTGTTAGTGAGGATGGTAATAATGTGTATTTTCTAATGCATCCTTCAGGCTGAAAGACAGTGAATCTGAACGTGTGTGTGTGTGTATGTGTGTGTGTGTGTGTGTGTGTGTGTGTGTGTGTGTGTGTGTGTGTATTGTCTCTAGGGCTGTACGATATTAGGAAAAAGTTACTTTGTGATTTTGTAAAGAAGTAAATCTGCATAGAATGTAATAAACAAATTACAAGCAGAGATAAATTTATACAACAGAACTGTATTCAGACATTGCATAATCAAATGTAAAATAACACTGCAAATAGTCTGCACTGTATAAATTAAATATAATTATTTAATTAAAAGTTAATGCAGCAAAGTGTTAGTTCAGTATTACACACCATAAAGTGCACATCACACAAAAATATTTTTGGCGAAATTGGCGTTTAAATCGCACGAGAATTGAAATTCGTGGTGTAGATACTAACTTTCATGAGATCGGGCTCCAATATTTTAACATTTATACTAGAGGTCGACCGATAGTGGATTTTACTGATATTTTGGTTTGACCGTACATGGCGATAACAGGTTATTCAATCAATATTTTTTTAATGGATACTGGACTTAATACATGAAATAAATACATGAATGAGAAGTTCTACAGAACGAATTCTACAGAAAATAATTTAAACATTAAAGTATTAGGCTACAGGTTAAATGTGTGTCTCTTTAGCTATAACCTAGAAACATAGCCCTAGTATGTCACTTTCATAGGTAACACTTTTAAAGTGCCATTTGTTATTAAGGATGTAGCCTAATGGCTAGCTTTCATGAACTATATGCTTTATGCAATATGTTTTTTACTGCATGTAATAATATTTGAGCAGTACTATTGTACGTTGATCATTCATATTAGTTCATAGTACATTAACTAAGGTAATAAAAGATCAAATACAAATTTAACCCCCTTAAACCCGAACCGTCCCACGGGTGGGACACCACCCCATAGAAAAAATTCATGATCAAATTACTAAGCAACCACTGAACGTAATAACACAAAATATGTATCATTTTAAAGCTTAGAATCTCAACTTTTTAATGCATCTAAACACTAATAACAACTCCAAAGGAGTGCCGAGTAATCCCTCTAAAACGGAGTGTACCGCCGATAAAACATAATAATAATTTTTTCAAAAATATGACCTTGATCTACTTAAAATAGGCCTCATTTGAAAGCTTAGAGTCTGAATTTTACAATGAATGTAGCCAATTTGATAAACTCCTAAGTAGTGCCAAGTTATTTGCTGATAAATATAAAAAAATGTTTAATAATTTATTAATTAATTTTTTGTACTACATACTGGTGGTTTAGACTTGGCATTTTTACTCATATCTTCATGAAACATACATCAATCATGAAATATTGCTCATCGTTATTTACAGCAGAAGCTCACGATTAAAAAGAACCCAAACTCAATGTATGCCATGAATCAGATATAAAGATATTCACCGTGGCGTCCTAACACCAAAAATAACACAGATGTTCGTGGCCAAGTACTGATGAAGCACTCGCGTTGGTATTTTGCTTATAACTACGTGAAAAATGAACAGATCGTAGAATATTGCACAACATTATTTTCAGCAGTCGTTCACGATTAAAAAGAGCCCGTACTCAGCGTAATCCATCACTCAGATCTGAAGATATTCCTAATGTAGTTGTAACACACGAAACCCCACAGGCGCACGCAGAGCGTTGTATATAGATGGAGCATTGGTGCCGCCTTTTGACCCATAATTCAATGAAGCATGCATAAATTGTGGAAAATTGCACATCATTATTCACAGCTGATTGTAAAGATTAAAAAGAGCCCAAACTCACGTTAATCCATCACTTAGATCTAAAGATATTACTTATGGACTTCTAACACATGAAGGTGTCCTATGCGCAGCAACGCAGTAGCAGTAGCAGTGATTGCTATGTTGTTCTGATGTGACGTTTCGGCTCATCATAACTCAATGAAACATGCACGGATTGTGAAAAATTTAACACTTTATTGACAGCAGATTCTCACGATTACAAAGAGCCCAAAATAATAATCCATTGCGCTGATCGCGAGAAATACCTCATGAAGTGATGCATACTTGGCTAAAAAACATGTCTCTCATCTTTTCAGGATTCATTGTGTTTTCCAATGTTCCCGGAACCATCCGCGCTTTTTCTTTTACGTGGAATAACACAAAATATGTATCGTTTTAAAGCTTAGAATCTCAGCTTTTTAACGCATCCAACCACTTAGATCAACTCTGAACGAGTGCTGACTGAACTCTCTAAACCGGAGTGTCCCACCCGTGGGCGCCGCCTAGCTGTGTAAAATGTTCATTACCATATTTTTTTTAAAAATGGCCTTGATTAACAAAAAATAGGTTTCATTTGAAAGCTTAGAGTCTGAACTTTACAGTGAATGTAGCCACTTTGAAAAACTCCTAAGTAGTGCTGAGTTATTTGCTGATAAATATTTAAAAAAAAATCATAATCAATAAAATACTTTTATGTACTGTAATGTGTCAAAAACATCATACAGCTCATGAAACATTCACAGATAGTTGAAAATGGCACATCATTTTTTACAGCATATTATTACAATTAAAATGAGCCCAAAATGAACTTAATCTATTGCATATGACAAGATATTCTCCATGGAGAAACAATTTCAAGAATGCCCAGTAGGGGGGCGTAAAGAACTGAGAACTGACTACATTGGTTCCAAATGCTATAACTTTTGATTCCTTAATCCAATCAGCACAATTTGATCCAGATGCAGCTCACATATAGAGGGACTTCACCAAAAAAGAAAAAAGAATTTTCCTCCTACCTTATTTCCTTCCTGAGTTATTCTATGTCAAATAAGAAAGATATGCAAAATCATAATAAAAATTATATTTATTTTTTTGTCTTTTTTTCAGCAGTTTTTCAGCAGCAGAATGTTCAAACGTAAGCTTGACTAAAGCTTGAAATGTCCTATTTAAAATGAACAAATTCGAATCAAAGCTAATACCGGTAACTTCTAATTATTTAATCCGTAAACGTGCATTTCTCTCTAAAGGTGCATCCGCTTAACAGTGGAGATGAAGTGGAGATATGTTTTTATCTCCGGGAGTATGGGGTCCCAACCCCAAGGGCTCTCCGGTCCCTGCATGACCGAAGCAGGAGTCAGACTTCTTCCTGGTGCATGTTGGATACCGGCAGGGCTGCCCTTTGTCGCCGGTTCTGTTCATAATTTTTATGGACAGAATTTCTAGGTGCAAGCAGGGGCCGGAGGGTGTCCGATTTGGGGACCACGCGATTTCGTCTCTGCTCTTTGCGGATGATGTTGTCGTGTTGGTCCCTTCAGATCAGGACCTTCAGCGTGCACTGGGATGGTTTGCAGCCGAGTGTGAAGCGTCTGGGATGAAAATAAGCACTGCCAAATCCAAGCCCATGGTCCTCAGTCAGAAAAGGGTGGCTTGCCCACTTCAGGTTGTTGGAGAGATCCTTCCTCAAGTGGAGGAGTTTAAGTATCTTGGGGTTTTGTTCACGAGTGAGGGAAGGATGGAATGGGAGATTGACAGAGAGATTGGTGCAGCTTCTGCAGTAATGTGGTCGATGTACAGGTCTGTTGCGGTGAAGAAGGAGCTGAGCCGCAAGGCAAAGCTCTCGATTTACCGGTCAGTCTACTCCTACTCTCACCTATGGTCATGAGCTTTGGGTCATGACCGAAAGGACAAGATCCCGGATACAGGCGGCCGAAATGAGCTTTCTCCTCAGGGTGGCTGGGCGATCCCTTAGAGATGGGGTGAGAAGCTCGGTCACTCGGGAGGAGCTCAGTGTAGAGCCGCTGCTCCTCCACATCGAGAGGGGTCAGCTGAGGTGACTCAGGCATCTGTTCCAGATGCCTCCTGAACGCCTTCCTGGGGAGGTGTTCCGGGCACGTCCCACTGGGAGGAGACCCTGGGGAAGACCTAGGACACTCTGGAGAGACTATGTCTCCCTGCTGGCCTGGGAACGCCTCGGTGTCCCCCTGGAAGAGCTGGAGGAATTGTCTAGGGAGAGGGGAGTCTTGGCATCTTCGCTAAGAATCCTGACCAAGGGCACAAAAGTACACGGACATGATGCGTGACAGAGTTCTTTATTAAATTTATAAAGTAATCAAAAATTAAAGGAATACTGGATTCTAAACCTCAAATAAATGCAATAATCAAGACCTTGGAGCAGAAATGAGGGAGAAACACCCAGGAACTCCTGTTTATATAGGCCTATGTGCCGTTCGCAGTCTTTCTATGCCATTAACGCTTAGATAACACACCACGTCTCCTTCCGAAACCTATATCCGTCCTTTGCCATGATTTCTGGAATGAGTTCTAGCGAGAGGAAAATAAAAGTTTTAGTCGCTTAAAATCATTTAATGGAAATGCCGTCATTTCAATCGTAAAATTTTTGCACAAATCTGTAAAGGTAACGCGCCTCTCCGATAAGATCCTCGCTGAAACCAGACAAAGTTAACATGTTGGTTATCCTGTCATGAAACATGAAGACCCGAAAAATAAAGCAGCAGTACTTGACGATTCACGTCTTAAGCAACCGCCAAGACTTGTTCAGACTATTACTCTTTTATTTTGCACTTAAATAAAAGCTTTATTTATGGTAAGCCTAATTATACTTAATTAATTAATTGTTAATATTTACATTTTAATATAAATGTTAATTTTGCTGTTAATAATAAGGAAAACTGCTCTATAATTATTAAAAAGGTTGTTGGTTTAGCCTTATTAATAGTTAATTATAAATATTTACAATTTAATATAAATGCTTGTACAATTTAATATAATTAGAGATGCACCGATTACAGTTTTCTAGGCTGATCCCGATTTCCGATTTTTCCTTTGTTTGACCTGCCGATGCCGATTTTAGCCGATTCTGATTTCATTTTTTCAAACCACTTTACAGCACAAAAAAAAAATGTATTTTCTATCTCCTCTTTAATAGAACAGTTTGCATAGAACATTTTGAACAGATAATTACTATAAAACATGCAAACTATATAAATTACTTCTGGTGTGGGAAATTCACACAGATCTAAAGTGCAGTGTTAAGGAAGAACCATTTTCTTTTCACATCCAATAACCAAAAAATTTTTTAGCATTATTTAAATTTTTAGCATTATTTAGCATTTAAATTCAATGGCATTTTATTTAAAATAAACATAGCCTTATTTCTCTCTCACACATACAGACCTATTGCAATCATTTGTACATCATTGGCAACGCAAGTTATATTTCTCAAACAGTTCTTCTCTCATTTGACACATGTCCAGCCAGGCTAAACAGGACAAGTGGAGCATGTGCAGGGAAACTATTGGGAATCAATAAAAACATGCTTAAATGGGTACATTTTCTTTAAATATTTTAAAATCTTCATTTTCTTTTCTGACATAGTCTTGCCTACTTCAGTTCTTGTTAAAACACACCAGACATGCACATTTTTGGATGAAATCACATGTATTTTGTCCATCAAAATTGTGCTTTCACTTTGAGCCAACCCTGTATCACACGAAATACGTTCTGAGGAAACTATTTTGCAAATCGCAATTACGTTACACGCCAACATATAAGCAGTGCTATTACGTTGGTCCTTAACCTAATGTCTCATTGTTAATACGTAGGTATTAAAGGTGCCATATGGAATAATTGAGGTAAAAATATCCAAAAAAATGAGCAACACCTATCAAAAGAATGAGTAGAAATAAGTGCAATGATGTCATTAAAAAACTGACAAGTTATAGTGCTGCCGAGATATAACCTAAATTAGCATGCTAAATTACTAGCCCCAGCCCGGCATGTGTCGTAATACCAGTTTCGGCCATGGGAGGCGGTATGCGGGCGGCAACATTGCCACCAGCCAAACTGCAGTAACACGAGTAAGTCGCGCCGGCTTGTGTGTACGTGAACCTGATGTCATGTCGTGATGTCGTGTGGAAATACAGCCCGCTACTAAATTTCAGTTCAGGGATGAGTTAAATAAATGATTGGTCGATATTATGCATGAGGAATACATTTTGGTAAGTTGTAACATATCTAACATTTACAAGCGCCAAAACTGCATTTATTGTTTGAATTGCGTAATAAAATTAACAGAATCTGAGAGCTGAGATCGGTCTCTGTGTCCTTTTCTGTTCATGACAAAATGGATGTGTGGCGTGAGAGTGTGTGAAAAGTTGTGTGTCTCACGGTGAATTCGTGAGAGTTGTCAGCTCTGAAAGACGCTAGCTTGGTCCACATCAGGGAATGCTGTCTGTCAAATTAATTCAAACTAATGATAAAAATGTAACATGAACAAAACGAATACCATAAACTAAAAATGCCTGGGCTTTAATTTTCCAGAGCAGAAGTGTTTGCATCTTTTTGAACCACATGGCAGCTGATCTCGAATTAGATGTTGTCCAAACTTTGTTGTTTATGTACAACATGTTTTGTGGTCAAATTACTATTCTTTTTTTCGATTATGACTTCTTTTCAACATGTTAATTCGATAAGGAATACGCTGGAAGAAAAATTGGCAGAGAGTAGGAAACAAAATGAAGTAGCGAAATGTAAAGCACGGAGACGCCATCGGATGCTAAAAGCTACAGTTCTTTGTACACAGCTCATGCACATGGGTGTTTCGAAGAGAAGACTGTGGATGGTACAAAGACCTCAAGGGGCTGTCTTTTGGTCTAACGTCCTTGAAAACTTCAACGAAGATCAGTGGCGCCTGCTCTTTCGAATGTCATGGGACACGTTTGAGTTTGTTCTGCAACTTGTTGAGCTAGGCCTGAGACGCAAGCCTACTAACTGGAGAAAGCCTCTTGAACCACGACGTAGATTGGCTATTGTTTTGTGGTGGTATGCTCTTTTTGGTGTGGGGCTGTCTACTGTTTGTACACTGGTTCACAAAGTCACTGCAACATTGAAGAGAAGGCTAACTGGAACCTAACCTTGCCTAACTGGAACATCACAGAAGTTTTGCAAGAGCCTGATCAAAAAATGTTTCAGGGGGTGGGAGAGCATAATTGTCAAGGAATTTTCCTAATCCAGCTGTAGAAACGAAGAGGATGACAACAGTGTGAATGTGCTGTTTTCTGTTTCTTCTGATGTGCTTGGGATATTGAAGCGGGTGTGGCGTGCGGGCACATAATAATATGTGGGTGCCGGAGCTGGCATGTGGCATAGGAGTCCCCCCCCCCAAAAAAAAAAAAAACGGGTTTGGGTCTCTTGTAGCTCGCGCAGCATCGAACATCTGCCTTGCCAGTTCATCTTCCCTTGCAAGACTTGCCTCCCTCCTCAGTTGCTCCTCGTATTCCCTCTGCTCTGCCAAACGAACACGCTCCCTCTCCTCAAAGTCCCTGTCCATTTTAAAAAAGAGGACCTTCACCTCTTTCACAATAGTTTGAGTCCTGGACAGTTGCTTACTGGCCTTTTTGCAGTAGGTGGTTGAGGTGATTCTGAAAAGACATACCCAAAAGTTGTATTATTAACCAGGAATACACGTGACAAAGTAATAGACTACAACCATGGAGACATTGTAAAACAATTAAACTTGGCTTGATGCGTGAACACTGATATTAGTGGACCACATTTACCATAAAGCTTATTTATTAACACTGTATAGAATATAAAAGGGAAGAATACGCTTATTACATTTTGCACGTTTATCTGAGAGAGTGAAAGTCCCGAACAACCGCACTCTCACCGTCTTCAAACTGTCTTGTTCTCTCTCCCTCCCTTGCGCATATTAATGAATTGAGTCCACTAAATATATTTGAGAATACATGAAAAAGCTTAGAAGGTAAAAGGTCAGAAGACCAAAGTTTTTTTTTTTCTTCTGCTCTACCACTGGTTGTGAATTGTGCTAAAATAACGTAGCCTTATCTTCTCTGAAAAGCGTTCCACACATTCAGGTGACAAACCACACTTTCAATTAAAAAAAATAAAATCTATCCAGTGATGAAATGATTTCTGTGTTGACACAAATCTTGTTCAATGTCCTCACCTACCCGGATAATCACACAACGTGTGCCGTGGTCTATTAACGACACGTCCGATTCGCGAACTAATAACTCACTTGAACTGATTCACTTTAATGAGTGGTTAAAACAACTGATCTATCCAACACAAACGAAAAGAAACATAAACCGGAAACACTTTACAATAAGGTTCCATTTATTAAAGTTAATGTTCTATTAATATTAGATTCTATGTGGATTTACTCCATAACAAAACCACCTGTCATTCTAGAATGATTCATTCATTCCAGATAGAGTTATTCAAGTAATCTGGAGAAATTGTTTTTATATCGCAATATATATCGCAGAAAAATAAAATACTGCAATGCCATTTTTTACCAATATCGTGCAGCCCTAATCACTATAATGAATGAGCTGAAAACAGGGAACTTATAGAGACAAGCGGTTTTTCAGCTGCTCAATTAAACATGATGTTCCTGTACTTTTTAAATGCAGATTAGATAAAAACAGTGATCACAGTTCACACCTGCAGTGAAGCCCCTCCCACAACAATTCACCAATAAATACTGGGAATATTCCCATCATCCTAAAAGAGAAGGACAAACTCCAGGAGTAGCAGCTGAAATCTGTGTGACTGTTAAAGATGGAGTTTATTAAAGAGGAGATTGAAGACATGAATGATCCAGAACCATCCAGAATAAAAAATGAAGATACTGAGGAACAAATAGGTTAGTGTCCATTCTTGATTCTTCATTGTTGATGCCTTGGTATGTGAATTAACCCTCAGGTGCTCTTCGGTCATTTCTGACCGAAAAATTTTCTGTTTTTAAATTTTTTAAATCACAGCTTCATCGTAATGTTACGAAACTTGGTGACTTTTATGGCATTGGGTATGTGAACACACAAAAAGAATTGAGGTCATGATCCAAGCAGGCTAAGTGGTCGTAAAAAAAATAGTCACACTTGTCAGACTGATCTCATGAAGTAGCGTGTGTATGACACGCCAATTCGTATTTCCATTTTTTGCGTGCTATCAAGACGCATAATTGCTTTTCAGTGTGTTTATGAACGCCGTTGACTTAACGTTATATAAATATATGACTTACCTCAACCCCGTCCCTAAACCTAACCGTCACTGGGGTTAATGGCATTTATGACTGTTCCCTTACCATCGTAGGTAAAAAAAAGATATGATTTACCTCAACCCCATCCCTAAACTTAACCCTCACTGGGGTTAATGGCATTTACTGTATGACTGGAGATTTGACGTCGTGTACAGACACGCGGAATGATGCGGACGTTAATGGCGTAGACATACACGCAAACACGCGGATAGCTCAAAATGCGTAGAGATAACACGCCACTTGACTCGAAAGTGGCGTGTATGTTTACGCAAAAGTCATGATGTCATGTTGCACTTGTGCTCTTCGGTCAAAAATGACCGACCCATAGGAAATGAATGGGAAATTGACAAACACAATAACTTTGAGAATTTTTGAGAATGGGAAATTGTAAAAAAAAAAAAAAAAAAAGAAAAAAAATTGTGAATTTTTGTTTTGTCCATTTTTTTTTATAAGAAATAGTTTTTGAGATTGTTTCAACTATATATTCAAATCCACCAACAACAACAAAAAAAGTGTTCATAAACAACTGGGGAATTCACATCCCTCTCCATAGAGCGCTGTACATGCCATCTAGTGGTTACACCATGATTCCACAGTTTTTCTCTATACTGTAACCAGATGGTGCTAATTTTCTTCAAAAATTTTCTGCATTAATATTTTTTTGAAAAAAAAAAATATATATATATATCCATGGCAAAAATAAACTATAAATATTGCATAAATATTAATAAATTCAATTAAATTGTTTTAAAATACTAAATTAAAAAGAATAATATTATAGAACAAAAATAAATTGCATTGGTTTTACTGGGATGGAGAAAGTTTCATTTTTAGGCGTCCGGTCACTTTTGACCAGGAAGATAACAAGTGTGACTCCGAAACGAAGAGCACCTGAGGGTTAATGAGCAGTATATGGATGTACCTTGTATGTAGCAGTTGTCAAACATTTTTACTATATTAACAAGTGAGTGACAGAACAAAGAGTGAAAGATCTGATCTGTTGCTTTCTGCAGACTGATCTCATGAAGTAGCGTGTGTATGACACGGCAATTCGTATTTCCATTTTTGCAGTGCTATCAACACACAAAATCGCTTTTTGGCGTGTTTATGAACGCCGTTGACTTAACGTTATTACTGTATATATAAATATGACTTACCTCAACCCCGTCCCTAAACCTAACCGTCACTGGGGTTAATGGCATCCATGACTGTTCCCTTACCATCCTAGGAAAGAAAAAGATAGCTCCCCAGATGTAGGTGTACAGTTTGCTTCGTTTCACTCGGACATTTGACGTCGTGTACAGACACGTGGAATGACGCGGACGTTAATGGCGTAGACATGTACGCATACACACGGATAGCTCAAAATGCTTAGAGATAACACGCCACTTGACTTGAAAGTGGCGTATATGTTTACGCAAAAGTCATGATGTCATGTTGCTTTCTGCTATTAAATAAGGGTTCACTTGAAATGATTCTAACTGTATTTCTGTGTATTTTAGACCAGGTGAGAGTGAAAGAGCAAAGACAAGAACTGATTGAAGAGGAGGAGGAACATCGTAACTTTACAATTCAAAGAATAAAAGCCGAAAAGACGCACACCTGCATTTTCACAGAGAAAGGACACCTTAACACACACATGAGAATTCACACTGGACAGAAACTATATACATGCAATCAATGTGGAAAGAGTTTCAGAAATACATCAGGTCTCAGTGTTCATATGCGCGTTCACTCTGGAGAGAAACCGTATACATGCACTCAGTGTGGAAAGAGTTTCAGACATACCTCAGGTCTCAGTGTTCATCTGCGCATTCACTCTGGAGAGAAACCGTATACATGCACGCAGTGTGGAAAGAGTTTCATACATAAAGGACACCTTAACACACACATGAGAATTCACACTGGAGAGAAACCGTATACATGCAATCAGTGTGGAAGGAGTTTTTCTCAATCATCAACTCTCAGTGTTCATCTGCTCCGTCACTCCGGAGAAAAGCCATTTTACTGTGATCAGTGTGACAAAGATTTTGTTTCATCATCAAATCTAAAATCACACCTAAAAGTTCATTCAGATGAGAAGCCTTATGTGTGTTCTCTCTGTGGAAAGAGTTTTTCAAGGCTGTACAGTTTTAAACTGCACCAGAAAAACACACAATGAAGTGAGAGATTATGTGTGCTTTGACTGTGGGAAGAGCTTTACTACATCTGGTGAACTGAAACTGCATCAAAGGATTCATACTGGAGAAAAACCTTACAAGTGCTCATATTGTGACAAGAGTTTTACTCGGTCTGCACACCAGAAATCACACGAGCGAGTTCACACTGGAGAGAAGCCGAACGATTACACCGATCAAGTAATCTAGTAACTCATATGAGAAAGCATTGTTCTGTGTCACTGTGAGCTGTGTTAGATTCACATTAAGTAAATGTGTAGTTAGTTAACTAATAAACTAGTGTTGCTGTGAAATGCCACAAGATTTGTGTTTTATATGTTGGAAAATAAGAATATTATTGAAAATTATTTTGATTGGACGCTTCCCAGATAGCAAACTGACATTGAATCAACGTGGAAATATGACATCGAAACAACGTTGATCTGACATTGTTTTGCTCATCGAATTAACGTTGAACCAACGTCAGATGCGTCATTCTTTCAAAACTAACGGAAAATCAACTTGAAATCAACGCGTTGTTTCAACGTTATGAAAGCAAACTAATTTTCGATTTCATTTAGCTTTGAAGAATGCCGCGTCTGACGTTGGTTCAACGTTAATTCGATGAGCAAATCAACGTTGTTTCAATGTCATGAGAGACGTCGTTTCCACATTGATTCAATGTCAGTTTTGCTGTCTGGGTTACTCAAAGTAAAAAGTAAAATGAAAGAGACTGAAAACAAATGCAGAAAAAAATATTGTTTAATATATGACACACATTCCTGAACTTGATCAGGTTTAAAAAAAAAAAAAATTAGTTACATGAAGCCTGTTAATGCATATACAGATGTATGTACAATAACAAAAAAAATACCATTTTACTGACAATGTGTGATTTTGTGAGTAAAAGGTTTCGACAGATCTAACAATTGACAAATTGACCTTGTCATTTTGGCGTCCAAAAAAGTTTGGCTTGTGCTATTTGTAGCACTCACGGTCACTTGGCTTCATTCTGCCCTAAAGCATTCGCAAGCAATGATCCGGCTTCTCTGTGGTTCTGAAAACGTTAGGGATGGGCACCGAAATCCAGTATTAAAATGGCCCGGTGCTAAATTATGAAAGGCTGTAGTATCGATAAGCTCTGACGCTATCGGTTCTGGTTTCGGTACTGGAGAAATTAAGAAAATATATTTACAGTTTATCATTGCTTAATAATGTTATCCTGCACATTTTATCTCACAACCATTTCTAATTTGCGATCATATTTAAAGAGGTTGTCTGTATTTTTATTGTTCGCAATTCAGAAGTGAGATCTCTCGTGCGCGGAGTCCGCGAAGGTGTCGGTCACACACACAACAGTGAGCACAGCGCACATGCACAACAGACGAAAACTCCCGCTTAATACAATAATGAAAATGGCAGAGAGAACAAAACGTTCAAAAGTGTAGTTACACTTCACGAGAGTTGATGCAGACAACGCTCGTTGTCAGAAGTGCAACAAGATGTTTGCATGTAAGGGCGGAAACACAAGCAATCTGTCAAAGCATCTTTCAAAAGTGCATTATGTGCAGACAGAGAAATGCAAGGTTTTCGACTGGCTAGCCAACTTGTCTGTGGTTGCGCCATCTACATCAGGTATGTTGCCTATGCTAGCAGCCTCCCCAATGACAATGACACAAAATCATAGCATAATCGAGATCTCTCGTGTCATCGAAACAATGTCAACAATCTCCAACATTGATCCAACATTTTTTTGCTCATTAAAATCATGTTGAATCAAGGTGTGCTTTTTAGCAATTGTTGGTTTGGTGCTTTTGCATTTGTGCAAAACAATTGCAATTGCATTTACTACAAATGATGGCCGTGAAAGAGACTGCGTAGCTGACTTAAAGATTCAGTTAACAAATGAATAAGAATGTTTATTTTTAAAGCACAATTTTTAAACCACAAACCTCTCTAATGTTAGAATGTTTATTTTTAAAGCACAATTTTTAAACCACAAACCTCTCTAATGTTAAAATGTTTATTTTTAAACCACAACTTCAATGTGTGCTTCTTTTAGCGATATATTTAGCGATATCTTTTGCATTTCTATTAGGGATGAGCGAGTACAGCATTATCTGTATCTGTATCTGTATCTGTTAACCATATGAATTATCTGTATCTGTATCTGTACTCGGACTGGGCGGGGCCTAAACCCGGAAGTGGGTCGGGTAGTCTTGAAATGGGCGGGGCTTTAACCGGTATGTTATTTTAAGCATGCAATTGATATGGGTTGATCTGAAATTGCTATAAGAAATAATTGCTTTATTGCTGATAAGAAATAAAACTATTTACATGACAGCATCAGCATTGAGCTTCAGATCAATGGTTTTGATCACGATAACAAACGAACTACAGAACAAGTTTTGCAACAATGAATACAACACATGTGGCTGCAATTATGAAGTAAAATGTAATGAACAAGAGTTTTCATCTCAACTACGGCTGGGTGATATGGACCAAAAGTCATATCCCGATATATATTTAGGCTGAATTTCGATATACAAAATATATCCCAATATTTTTTTCTGCAAAGTGAGAGCAAATGTTCAGTCAAAGAAAAATATGACATGTCACAAGTAGTTTTATTGAAACTTGAACATTTGCTAAATCAAATGAATAAATAATAAACAGGTTTCTTCACCTTAGGGCTGCATGATTAGCTATGACAAAAATCTTAATTGCAGATTATTAATTGGTTTATTTATTTTGTTAATACAACTTTGGTATGAGCCATTACAGTCATTTAAAAAAATATAAAAAATAACACAAAGAAAAATAGGGGCATTAAGGGGTTAATATAGAAACGACAGTTACCATGGTGAATAGTGAATACACAATACTAACAAGAACTATTTATGAAACATGGAAACTGCTCCTGGTGAATAAAATGAAAATCATAAATGCATTGCTTTTATTTCGTGTAATTTACATGCTCGTATAGTTTCTTTTGCACTTTATGTACAGTGAGGCGATCCAGCGCGCGTCGCCGCATTTGCGCGTGCAATTGAGTGTGCGCTACGACTAACGTTACAGTATAACGGCTGACGGGACAGAAAGTCCCTTTTGCTGAGGTAAAAGACTTTATTTCATAACATACATGCTTTAATCAAGCACGCAAAGTGGAAAAGGAGTGGCTGGGGCGCGGGGAGCAGTGCAGAGAGCTTTGAGTCAGCACTCAGCAGCTTGCTTGGAGCAAGGATCACAGCGCAAACCTGAACTAGCCTATATCGATATGCAATATCTAATTAAATATCACATTTAAAAATATATATATTCTTTATGTAGATATATCGCTCAGCCTTAATCTCAACATAATTTTTTTTTATTTTTTTTTTATCCGAGCACAGATATTGACTTGTATTACTCGTATAATATTCGTACTTGACAAAAGTGCTTTATCCGTACCGGATACTCGTTTCAGCCGAGTATTCGGCTCAACTCTAATTTCTATGACAAACAACGTCAAACTCTGCATTGCACTTACCCGTGCCCGTAGCAAGACAGTTGTCAAGTTTGAGATCCATCGGACTAACGGTTCAAGAGATATGCGATTAACAGACAGACAGACGGACGTTCCTGTAATTTATAGATAGATGTACAATCTCCATAATTGTTTTGATTACCTTTCGTTGAAATTATGTTGATTTAATTTGGTAGAAATTGCTGTATGCATTCAGCATTTTTTCGACAGTTTGTTTTTAAAATCACAAATAAAAGAAAATTCAGTAGTTTCTGCAATCTTAAACACTAAAAAATGCCTTCACATTTGTGCATTAACAAATATAATATTTAGAACTGGTGCATTATCTGAGGGAGGGAACGGAGACGTAAGTCCCGTCGCCACATCTGCTGCCGCCAGCAGCTTGTGATATACCCGCACTAACGAGGCTGTGCAGCTGGTGCAAATAATTGCACACCAATGTGCATTGGCTTGTTTTAGGTTCACTCAAAGTAAATTGGCTGTCTAGCGAGATTCCTCAGACTGATCTCATGAAGTAGCGTGTGTATGACACGCCAATTCGTATTTCCATTTTTGGTGTGCTATCAAGACGCATAATCGCTTTTCAGCGTGTTTATGAACGCCGTTGACTTAACGTTATATAAATATATGACTTACCTCAACCCCATCCCTAAACCTAACCGTCACTGGGGTTAATGGCATTTATGACTGTTCCCTTACCATCCTAGGTAAAAAAAAGATATGACTTACCTCAACCCCATCCCTAAACTTAACCGTCACTGGGGTTAATGGCATTTATGACTGGAGATTTGACTGCGTGTTCAGACACGCGGAATGACGCGGACGTTAATGGCGTAGACATACGCATACACGCGGATAGCACAAAATGCGTGGAGATAACACGCCACCTGACTCGAAAGTGGCGTACATGTTTACGCAAAAGTCATGATGTCATGTTGGATTCCTATTGGTCAGTCATGACCTACGTCTCCTTTCCCTCCCTCAGGGAACGAGGGTTACCATATGTAATCGAGACGTTTTACAAAATACAGTCAACTCAAATGGCAATATTTTGAGGCAAACAATAAATAGTCACAGAAATTATCCAAATTTACCTTTTTTAAGACAACAAGGTGTTGTTCAGCTTGATATGAGCACAACTTTCAGGTCTTTCCAGGATGGTGGAATCAAATCAAGGAGGAGACAAATTGATGCAAGATCGCTGCTCCATTCTAAATTACAGATGAGATGTGACAAATTGCAAAAAAAAAAAAAAAAATGCAAGAAAATGCAACCAAAAAAAATGTTGGGACGCATATAGATAAACATATTCTGAGCTATAGTCTAACCTGACTCATCAGTTTCATCATCTTTCACAGCAGATTCTGCAGAGTCAATCAGTTCCTTGAAGCTCTTGGGAGAAGCCTTTCTAGGAACTTAGCTGAGGTCCTCTAACCAAAAATAAAAAAAAAACAGTCAACAGTTATATAGCATATTGACAACCATATCTCTCCCAGTGCCGGGCAGAGTAGTGCCATTCACACCTGGCTTTATATTTAGTCTTCCCACAAGTGAACAACTCGAAGTACAGGTGTAAACGCCCCCAAGACGATTAGTAGAGATGACGCATTAGAGGAAATAGAAGTTGTGAAAGAGTTTACGTATCTTGGAGTTACTTTACTCTCACTTTTAAAAGCCATGTAAAAAAGTTGTCTAATATTGTGAAATTTAATTTAAAGAATTTTAGGTATATTAGGTCCGTTTTGACAATTGGTGCTGCAAAGTTGTATTTATATTCAATGATTTTTTTTTTCACATATGCAGTATTATTTTAGTAGTTGGTCTTTTACGAGTAACTCAATTTTTAAGTCAATAGAAATACTGTATAAGAAGGCGATAAAAGTGTTTGATTAAAAAAAACCCTCTCATTTCACAACTGTAAAATAAATAAAAACAGTGTATTGAGTTTTGACAATTTTTAAAATTTTAATTATGCGTGCTTTGTTTATAAGGTCTGGGCTTGCTCCACCTCCATTGCAGGAGTTTATTAAACAAAGGGCAGATTGTGGTATTGGTACCAGTAGAGGGGACTGGGAAGTACCAAATTGGCGAACATCCTTTGGCCAGAAAGTTTTTTCAGTGATAGGGAGCAAATATTTTAATAGTTTGCCACAGTCAATACGACAATGTTACTTATCACACTTTTAAAGAACATCTTAAGAAGTGGCTTATAAAAAATCAAGTGTGTAAACATTTTTCTTAGTAATTTTTGTGACGTGTTTTTATGTATTGTGTTTTTAGTTGAGTCTTGTGTATAGTGAGTATTTGTTATTGTGTGTACCTGCCTAGGGACTACGGACGTAAATTATCAATACTGCTATAATATGGCTTGTTTACATCTTGTATTATATACAAATGTTCATCAACATGCTTTGTCCCTATCAAAAAATAAATAAATAAATAAAAATTTAAATAAACAACTTTTCGCAGTTTAATATTTTGAATTTATATAATTCATGATGACACATCAATAACTATGCCATTATGACAATCAAGACATAGTTTTAGATTTTTCATGTTCATTCGTCATGTATTCATTTGTACTGCACATAGAATAAAATATAACTACACTCACAATTCTGGATTAATCTTCATAATTCTGTTACTTTCTTCATTTCTATTTGCAATCTCCTGAGAGGAGCTTCCTTCACTTGACACTGCAGGGGTCTGGGCAAAATCTATTGAAAAATATTATGTAGAGATTATGTAATTCACACTCATTCACACCTCAGTCTGCAAAAGACTACATTTGTTGTTTTAAGTGTGCACTAACGTTACAAGATACTTAAACACACTGTTAATGATGTGAATGTGTCGCGAAAACGGAACTGTTAACGTTTTAATGTATAACAGCGACTTTTATACACACAAAACAAATATACAAATACAGCTGCGAGCAGCGATTACGGGCCCAAGCCAGTGGCACCGCAACTCCTGTTCCTTTAGTTACCTAAAGGCACCGGGGTGGCTGTACCAGCAGCTTTGGCCCTTCATCGCTGCTCACGGCTATAATTATATATATATATATATATATATATATAAAAGTTATGATGCCTTTCAGTAAGTATACTGTATCTTTCAGCATACCATAACTGAGGAAGAGATGATTGCGTTTACTCGCGCACCTAGTAGGCCTACAGCGATCTCTCATGCCACATCAAAGAGCGCCAAAACGCCATTTATTGTTTGAATTTTGTGATCAAATAGACAGAATTTGAAAGATTACACCTTGCTTATTATCGAAAGTAACAAAACACGGAGTTTGTTATTTGGTGTTAATGGTGGTTAGGCTACAAAACTGAATTCGGTGTGTACTGTACACATAAGACATGAGGTCCATTGAGCCAGGCCGGGCGGGGCCGGGGTAGCAGGGGGTGGGGCGTGTTCGGCACGCAATGAGAGTATCGCGATTTGAATCGTGAGTTCTGTATCGTGGTTTTTCGGTTCAGTTCGAATATCGTTACACCCCTAATATATATATGGCTGTAAAAATAAATCTGCATTGTTTATCCTTTTGATCTTTCCTTAAAAAAGTTGCAAAATTCTAACATTTCATTGAAGTAAAAGAATTGAAAGTGGGGGGGGGGGGGGAATCACATTATGAAATAAAAATTTTTCTTCTCCAAAACACGCTGGCTATTATTGTTGGCACCCCTAGAATTTTTTACAAGTAAAATATCTCTAAAGTATATTCCCATTATTATTCACCTTTATTTAGCACACAAGGGTGATTAGGAACATGAAATTGTCCGGTCATGACTTCTTGTTTCACAGGAGTGTAAATATGAGGAAAGTCAAGTCAAGTCACCTTTATTTATGTAGTGTTTTTTACAATACAGATTTATCAAAGCAGCTTCACAATGATAACATGAAAATAATACAACACAGATCAATAATATTGTTGAATATTAAATGTCCCCAACTAAGCAAGCCAAAAGCCAAGGCAACAGTGGCATGGAACCAATCACGGCACGGAACTCCATCAGGTGACAGAATGGAGAAAAAAACCTTGGGAGAACCCAGGCTCAGTCGGGGGCCAGTTCTCCTTAGGCCAACGAAGGAACAGTGTGATTCGGGTAGCATTACAAAACAAATTGAATTGAAACATTAGGAGTATTTGTCCATTACTATCTGTTTGGAAGTCGAAGTAATCACACCAGTTTGGAGACGAGAAGTTGAGGATCAGTGCCAATTGAATGGAGAAAAAAACCTTGGAGCAACCCAGGCTCAGTCGGGGGCCAGTTCTCCTTAGGCCAACGAAGGAACAGTGTGATTCGGGTAGCATTACAAAACAAATTGAATCGAAACATTAAGAGTATTTGTCCATAACAATCTGTTTGGAAGTCGAAGTAATCACACCGGTTTGGAGACGAGATGTTGAGGATCAGTGCTGATGGCTTTCGTGTCGATGAGGCCGGCATTTAAGAATGAGTCAGGATGGGTCCAGGCGCAGGTCCACCATAGAGGGTCCCTCGGGATAAACAGAAAAACAAATATTAGCGTAGATGCCATTCTTCTTATGATGCACCAAGTACATCAGGATTTACAGGATGTGTTCCCGGTTCCGGCTGATCTAAACTATGCAGCCTAATTTTGAATTAAGGAAGTCTATAGTGTTTTATGTGTATGCTAGGCCAAAGAGTTGTGTTTTTAGTCTAGATTTGAACTGACAGAGTGTGTCTGCTTCCCGTGTAAACTTAACTCACAATAACAAGAAAACGTTATGCATTTATAAAGTAAAAAGGAAACAATCAGAGGCAGCTACATGATCTCTGTGAACTGGAGTGCGAGAACTGAAACAAAATATTGGCCATTTAGACTAAAGCTTGAAATGTCCACTTTAAAACGAACAAATTTGAATCAAAGATAATACCAGTAACTTCTAATAATGTAATCCATAAACGTGTATTTCTCTGTAAAGGTGGATCTTAAGAGTGGAGATGGAGATGTGGTTTTAGCCGGCACTGATTTAGAAAACAATAGTTTATTAATAAACAATAAAAATGCTTTGTTATTTTTTCGGACACGTTTATTATAATCTATGACTCACATTTAAATGACCTTTCTTTAGGCTGTGGTTATGGCTCTTCTCAAAAATATAAATTCCAGGTTCTAATTAGGCCTTAGAAAACCAAAATTTGCCCTTTTTTCCCCCATATTATTTTGTGAATATTTTAAATGGTTAATTATTCATATTTACAATTTAATATAAATGTTAATTTGTTAATAAAGAATACTGCTTGATAATGATTCATTCCCAGATAGCAAACTGACATTGAATCAACGTGGAAATATGACATCGAAACAACGTTGATCTGACATTGTTTTGCTCATCGAATTAACGTTGAACCAACGTCAGACGCGTCATTCTTTCAAAACTAACGGAAAATCAACTTGAAATCAACGCGTTGTTTCAACGTTATGAAAGCAAACCAATTTTCGATTTTCATTTAGCTTTGAAGAATGCCGCGTCTGACGTTGGTTCAACGTTAATTCGATGAGCAAAATCAACGTTGTTTCAATGTCATGAGAGACGTCGTTTCCACGTTGATTCAATGTCAGTTTGCTGTCTGGGTTTGCATTGTCACTTATAAGCTACATGTTCTTGATTGCTTCTGCAGTGTGTGACGTGGCCGTGATTTAAGTATTTTTTGTCAGTTAACCACCACACCACGAGATTTGTTGCTGCACCGCGGTAAGAATAAATCCCATACCGTCACAGCCCTACACAGAATTACATTACAACTATCAACACACTCAAATACTGTTTAGTGTGTTGGTGTAACTGTTAGAGCAAGTAAAACAGCGCTGCGTTACCTCAAGTTTCATTCGACTAATAAACTGACCTCTGTGAGTAATGCAGCACTTGCATGTAGTTCGGTAGAATGAAATCTCCATATTCCTTTATATCCGCAGGACTCGCGTTTGTCGCTGATATCTGCGATGTATGTCTCTCATTAGCAATAGCGCCCTGCTTCACACCACAGTCATGTTAAAAACATCAGTGTATTCACTCATCCATATAAGATCCATCAGCATACAAGATTCATCAGCTTGAAGACAAGATCCATAATTCTGTTTAATGCTTTGCGTTATAAATATACACCTTTGTTTGTTATTATATAAGGTTGGCGACCCCTGGTGGCGAAAAATCGAAAAATTTTACCTTTAACTAGAGGATCACAAAACTAAAGTTTGGTACATCAAAAATATAATATTTGATAAGCAGATCTCACTTGTTTTCTGTTATCAAATCAGTGTTCACTTCTCAAAATTCAACTCATTCTAACAACTTAATGTTAACAACTTAAAGACAAGAACTGAAGTTAAAGGTGATTATGCTGTAGTTTGTTTCAGCCTGTTGACACCAATAAAACAATTTAATGTGCCAATTTACTGAAGATAACATGATGGCCCTGTCCTTTTCAAATGCAGATTGGATAAAAACACAGTGATCACAGTTCACACCTGCAGTGAAGCCCCTCCCACAACAGTTCACCAATAAATACTGGGAATATTCCCATCATCCTACAAGAGAAGGACAAACTCCAGGAGTAGCAGCGGAAATCTGTGTGACTGTTAAAGATGGAGTTTATTAAAGAGGAGATTGAAGACATGAGTGATCCAGAACCATCCAGAATAAAACATGAAGATACTGAGGAACAAACAGGTTGGTGTCCATTCTTGATTCTTCATTGTTGATGCTTTGGTGGCTGTGAATTATTAAGCATATGGATGTTCGAGAAATGTATCTAAATGACCATAAACTTTTATAGCAGTTGTCAAACTAATTTTAACTTTGTTAAAGGGATACTCCACCATTCTTTTCAAGGTGAAGTGCTCCCAAGTACTTGCTGTGGTATTCCACCTTACAATATAGTTGTCCATTTTACACGCTTAGAAAAGCGCAACGTTTTATTTTGTGTCATAGGTCGAGTTACACTGCTCGAGTAACTGTTTTTAATTGGGAAAATGTGGAGGTGCTTGGTCGCTTCTCTGTTTGGCCCATATTGAATGAACTGGGCTAGTTAAGTGCTATCAAAGTGTCTTACGCCAGAGCGATTGAGTGCACACACTGAGACGAGAGAGGTATGTATCAACTCGTCTTAGTTAAGGGAATAATATAGTTTAATATGAAAAAACGGTGGAGTATCCCTTCAACAAGTGAATGACAGAATAACAAGTGAAAGATCTGATCTCTGTTGTTTTCTTCTATTAAATAAGGGTTCACTTGAACTGATTCTGACTGTTTTTCTGTGTGTTTTAGACCAAGTGAGAGTGAAAGAGCAAAGACAAGAACTGAATGAAGAGGAGGAGGAACATCGTAACTTTATAATTCAAAGAACAAAAGCCAAAAAGACGCACACATGCACTCAGTGTGGAAAGAGATTCACACAGAAAGGAAACCTTAACAGACACTTGAGAATTCACACTGGAGAGAAACCGTATAGATGCACTCAGTGTGGAAAGAGTTTTACTCAATCATCAAGTCTCAGTGTTCATCTGCTCAGTCACTCCGGAGAAAAGCCATTTAACTGTGATCAGTGTGGTAAAGATTTTATTTCATCATCACATCTAAAAATGCACCTGAAAGTTCATTTAGATGAGAAGCCTTATGTGTGTTCTCTCTGTGGAAAGAGTTTTTCAAGGCTTAACGGTTTTAAACTGCACCAGAAAACACACAATGAAGAGAGAGATTATGTGTGTTTTGACTGTGGGAAGAGCTTTACTACATATAGTCATCTGAAACAGCACCAAATAATTCATGGTGAAGAAAGACCTTACAAGTGCTCATATTGTGACAAGAGTTTCACTCATTCTGGACACCTGAAATCACACGAGCGAGTTCACACTGGAGAGAAGCCGTACTACTGTACTCAGTGTGGGAAGAGTTTCACACACTCAAGTAATCTAGTGACTCATATTAGAAAGCATTGTTCTGTGTCACAGTGAGCAAATGTTTTGTTAGATTCACATAAAGTAAATGTGTTGTTAGTTCATTAACCCTCTGAGTTCGAGTAACGCGCCGCCGCGTTTTTTTTTTCACATAGCTGCAAAATAGACTTAAAATACTCCATCATTAATGGTAATGTAAATAAAATCAATACATGATTGTAAACTATAGAGGGTCTTCTTTTTTTGAGTATACTCTTATTACCATCAAAACCTTGTTTTTGTGCCCTTTCAGCTCACTCTGTCTCCGCAAAAAATCTTTCTGAAACAAGTCTGTAAAATGACCTGAAACTCAGCTAATACTTCTCACAAACATGAAACATACATCTAAATAATGCTTTAAATGTCTACTTTTAAATAAAACAATTCACATTTAAAACAAACATTCTCCTGCAATGTAATCTGTATGAAACTAAAGAGGAGTACAGTTTCTCCTGTCTCAGCTTATTATCATTAGTGAGTTTACACCCTCTCGCAGAGCGCGCTATTCATAAGATAATGTGTTGGAGGCCATATTCTACATAGGTAAACGCCCCCACGCAAATGCGTTAAAAGCAGCATGTTTCATCATTATTTTCATTCACTTTTTTGCGCTTTTGGAAGATGGCACGCAACACTGGCGCGGAGGCTCTTCAGTTCGTCCTGGACAGTGATGGTGAGTTCACATTTTCCTCAGAAGACTTTCCAAGCAGGAAGAGAGCGTAATATTTTGACAAACTAAAGTTAATATGTGGTAATGGTCCGAATAAGCTAGCTTCTCTAGCCCGTACTGCAATTCTTCCTTATATTTCTTATTCCGACATAGGCTACGCTCAGATTGTCAGTCCAAAAAGCACATGAAATCCATTTCAAGCTACATCCATTTGTGGTTTGAAATCCTATTCAAATATATATTTCATCACGGCCAGATGAATACGCTAAATTATCCAAATTGACAGATTGTGTTAAAGATATAAAAGATTGGATGACGCGTAATTTTCTTTTATTAAATCCAGACAAGACAGAGGTAATACTTATCGGTTCTAAAAACTGTCCACAAAACCTTTCGCAGCACGACTTTAACATATTAGGATGCCCTGTTACTTTATCCGTTACAGTAAAAGACATGTTATATTAGACTGCAACCTGTCTTTTGAAAAGCATATTTCATATGTTACAAAAACAGCTTTTTCCACCTTAGAAACATTGCTAAGCTACGTAACATGCTATCTGTCTCTGATGCAGAAAAGTTAGTTCATGCATTCATGACCTCGAGACTAGATTACTGTAATGCTTTATTAGCCGGTTGTCCTGCATCCTCAATAAACAAGCTACAGTTAGTGCAAAATGCAGCTGCTAGAGTTCTTACTAGATCAAGAAAATTTGATCATATAACACTGATTCTATCATCACTTCATTGGTTACCTATTAAGTTCCGTATTAATTACAAGGAATTGCTTTTGACTTATAAAGCTCTAAATGGTTTTGCTCCAGTCTATTTAACAGATCTTCTATCACCCTACATTCCATCGCGCTCTTTAAGATCACTAAATTCGAGGCTTCTGGTCATTCCTAGGATATCCAGATCCACCAAAGGAGGGAGAGCATTTTCACATTTAGCTCCGAAGCTCTGGAATAGCCTTCCTGATATTGTTCGTTGCTCAGACTCGCTCTCTCAGTTTAAAGCTAGACTAAAGATGCATTTATTTAGCCTGGCATTCATATACATTTTTTATTTCACAGTTACTGTAAATTTGGCCTCTAGTTCATAAATGCCAGAGGAGAACTGGCCCCCGACTGAGCCTGGGTTCTCCCAAGGTTTTTTCTTTCCATTGGGTGATCTGATGGAGTTTTAGGACACCATCGGGTCACTTAATGGAGTTTTTCGGTTCCTTGCCACTGTTGCCTTTGGCTTGCTCAGTTGGGGATATTCAAATTAAATGACCCATCATACCATTGATCAGCTCTATCAAACTTGATTGTCTTTTCATGAATAAACAAACACTGTTATGTTGTCTTGATTGATACTGTGAAGCAGCTTTGATACAATCTGTATTGTGAAAAGCGCTATATAAATATATTTGACTTGACTATTCAAATACCAGGGGGTAACATATGCCTCAGTCTGAACGATTGGATTTCGGATGGTATGCGATTCTCATGCCACATAAAATGTAAACATCAGTGGTTGTAAGAGGAGACTTGCTGCAAGTCACTGTCTTGTTGCAAAGTGCCGGACGAGCAGAAAAATATTATTTCTGAAACATATATTGAAACTGGCACAGACAAGAGCGCGAAAAAAGCTGTAACGTTGCATACCAGCCTCCTAGAGTTCTGCATAGGGATGGGTACCGAAATCCGGTATTAAACAGGCCCCGGTGCTGAATTTTTAAAGACCGCTGTATCGATAAGCTTGGACGTTATCGGTTCTGCTGTCGGTACTGGAGAAATTAAGTAAATACACGTAGGCTACTCTTTATTATTCCTAAGACGTTATCTTGAACATGTTTATCTCGCCAGCCATTTCTATATATAAACTATATTTTAATTAAACCATTTGTCTGTGATGCAAATTTGCTATTCGCAGTTCAGAAGAGAGAGAGAGCGATCTCTCACACGGAGCCACAGCACGCGTAACACGACAGCCCTGCTTAATGAGTGACAATGAGGACAGAAATAAACATTTAACGTGGTTACACTTTAGATCTGGGGTATTATTCTAATTTTATTTTAGATTTCGGCTTCCAAAGATTATAAGAAGATATTTGAGATACACCCGTTAAAAACGAGACAATCTGTCCAGCGCAACTTCCTTCACTTCACGCTGCGGAGCGCTGTCAGTTCTTCCTAAACCCAAACGTGCCGTCAGAATCAGCACGATCGGCGTTTGTTGCAAAATGCTGTCTCTACTGTTGCTAGATCACATGTGAGACGCTGTTCACAAGGCGATGCGCGATCCGAAACGGACTGCAACGAGACAAGAAGAGTATAGCCTACTTTGGGCTTCGTGTGTCCTAAACTATCAAATATACATAAAAATGCCAAAATGACCAGCTCTGAGATTCACATAAACACAATTATGTCTTAAATGGACGTAAATAATAGGGAGAAAATGATGGTGCTTCAGTTACCGATTAGATTTGCTCTCGGTCTTAAAGGGCCAGCAGTCTAATTAACCTGCTGATGATTCAGCCATTAATGCAAATCAAACAACAAAAGGCAGAGAAAATCACTCACAGCACTTGAATGAGTAACTTTAGATTTAATAAGCATTAATCTATCTATGATAAACTATACAGTGCTATTTTACATTTGATTACTAAATTAGATTTATTTTCAGACAGAAAATATTACCTAAAAAGTAATGTTAGTAGACCTTCCTGAAATTAAAGCACTCTGTATATAATTTGTATCTTTGATTAATTGATTAATCGAAAATAACCAAAATAATCCAAGGTTTTTATTTAACACCGTGGCTAGACTAACAAATAAACAGACATCACCAGAGCAAAATATACCTTTACAGTTTAGTAGTAATGATTTTATGAATTACTTCAATGCGAAAATAGAAAGCATCCGAAACAAAATTATAAATGTACAATCCGCTATGGTGTCTTATGATTCAGCTTCAATTATGGACCCTCTAGAACAACTAAACCGCTTTACAACGATAGGACAGGAGGAGCTAAATAAACTTATCATTGCATCTAAACCAACAACTTGTTTATTAGATCCAATACCCACTAAACTACTGAAAGAACTATTACCTGTAGTGGAAGAGCCTCTCCTCAATATTATTAACTCGTCTTTATCTTTAGGTCATGTCCCAAAAATATACAAGCTGGCTGTAATAAAACCGCTCATTAAGAAACCGCAATTAGATCCAAATAACTTGGCAAATTACAGACCCATTTCAAATCTTCCATTTATGTCCAAAATACTTGAAAAAGTAGTGTCCGCTCAATTGTGCTCTTTTTTGCAAGAAAATGATATCTATGAAAAATTCCAGTCAGGATTCAGACCGCATCATAGTACAGAAACTGCGCTAGTTAAAATTACAAATGACTTACTTTTAGCTTCTGACCAAGGCTGTATCTCAATACTAGTCCTACTTGATCTTAGCGCTGCGTTCGACACTATAGATCATATAATACTCTTGGATCGACTACAAAACTTCACCGGTGTCCAGGGACAGGCATTAAGCTGGTTTAGATCGTACTTATCGGACCGTTCTCATTTTGTCTGTTTAAATGGGAAAAAATCAAAGATAACGTCAGTAGACTATGGAGTACCGCAGGGATCGGTTTTAGGCCCTCTGCTATTCTCAATATATATGCTGCCACTTGGTAATATTATAAGAAAACATGGAATTAATTTCCACTGTTACGCTGACGACACTCAATTATATATTTCATCACGACCAGATGAAAACACTAACTCATCTAAAATGACAGAGTGTCTCAAAGATATAAAATGCTGGATGACGCGTAATTTCCTGCTATTAAATTCAGATAAAACGGAGGTATTACTTATTGGTCCAAAAAACTACTCACAAAACCTCTCACAATACAACTTTAATATAGACGGATGTCCTGTTACTTTATCCACAACAGTAAAAGACCTGGGTGTTATACTAGACCGCAACTTGTCGTTCGAAAATCATATTTCATATGTTACAAGAACAGCCTTTTTCCACCTTAGAAACATTGCTAAGCTACGTAACATGCTATCTATTTCTGATGCAGAAAAATTAGTTCACGCATTCATGACCTCGAGACTAGATTACTGTAATGCTTTATTAGCTGGTTGTCCTGCATCCTCAATAAACAAGCTACAGTTAGTACAAAATGCAGCTGCTAGAGTTCTTACTAGGTCAAGAAAATATGATCATATAACACCGATTTTATCATCTCTACACTGGTTACCTATTAAGTTCCGCATCAACTACAAAGTACTACTACTGACCTATAAAGCCCTAAATGGTTTAGCACCTATGTACTTAACGGACATTCTTTCGCCCTACAATCCACCGCGTTCCTTAAGATCACTAAATTCAAGGCTTCTGGTCATTCCTAGGATATCGAAGTCCAGTAAAGGAGGGAGGGCGTTCTCGCATTTAGCTCCAAAACTCTGGAATGGCCTTCCCGATACGGTCCGAGTCTCTGACTCGCTGACACAGTTCAAAACTAGATTAAAGACGCATCTCTTTAGTCAAGCATTCACATAATGCTTACCTTTTAGTCCTCTGTTATGCCATATGGAACCGTTTGCCACTGAAACTGCTTAACGCACCAGTGGGGCTCGACAGCCTTTTAGACAAACGGGTCGGCGCGTATGGTTGGGTTGCGGAGAGTTCGGGTTACGGAGAGTTTGTGAGTTATAACGGAAATTATTATGAACATCAGCTATGCTAATTATTTCCCATCTGCCTTTCTGCTGTTATCTCGGGACGCTTGTCCCGAGAAAAATGGCGTTCGTCAGGTCCAGTTTTGTGTCCAGCCTCTCACGGGGATTTCGGATGCCCCAACGCCTGTGATGAGACGACTCAACGCCTGTGATGAGACGACTCAACGCCTGCGATATGTT